TTGCAATCTCCAGCCACTTTCTCCCTCACTCTCTTCCCCAGGCTCCTTTCTGCCTTGGCCTTCTCATTGTAGCAAGTGACACAAGGGGTCTCGGTGTGAGTGAGACGCTAGAACCTGGCAGGTGTCTTCCTGGACTTTACCCATGCCAGAAGCACAGAAAGGAGTCCACTTATGGGTACATCGCTGGGACCAAGAAGAGCCAAAAGGGGCTGGGGGAGATGAGAATGAAAGAACAATTGCATTTTAATATAGGCTGAAGAGAAGAGAGGGAGGAGCAAGAAGTTGCTCCTTGTCCCTCCAGCTACAGAGGGAGAGAAGTAGCTGTGGGGGTGGGTGTAGGAGGAAAGCAGAAAGCCATTCAATACCACTGCATGCCCCATGGTAGACTCCAGTAAGAGGAGTAACTATGGTGGGGAGAGCAGAAAGTCAATGAACAAGCCTTACCTCTTTGGGCATGTTTACGTGTGCTCTGGGAGGCATGGAGGATGCTTTAATTAGTGAGCCGTGCTAATTAAAAGTTCCCAAGCATGTAACAGTGTCCCCCACACTGAAAAATGGTGGCGAGGCGCTTTCAACTAAAGGTCATCAAATGAGCTTTAGTTCAAAGCACCCCACCGCCATTTTCAGCACAGGGATGCTGATACACATGATGCTAGCAGCTAGAGTCTGCTGGAGCACATTAATTTCCATGCTCCAGCAGACATGATTCATCGAGTTTGCTTTGACACGCTGGTTTTCCAGTGCATTGGAGCTGGCTCCCTGCACATGTACAGGAGCTCTCTAGTTCCAGTGAAAGAAGTGGCTATGCCAGGTGGAGAGGGTGGGAAAGAAATAGGGAGCAGTTAAACAACACTCCCAATGTATTTGGACCTCGGTAACTAACTTGATAGTGATCTTCAGTAGCACCGACTAACTCTGTTTTCAAAAATAAAACTGGAGAGACATCTTGTAATAATTCCTAGCATGGGGCTCTGCATATAAGGCTCATTCAAATCTGTTACACTTGTGTTCTTGTGATATTAATAGAGCCAGAAACCCATTTGTTCAGACTCCTTCATTTGGGAAAATCAGGCAAACACATTCCAGTTACTAGACCAGTCTGGTGACAGAAACAGTACAACATGGCTTTCAAATGGTAAAGATACTGTAAAGCACTGAGCAGAATAAATATTCTGATATCAAATCAGTAAATGTTGCGGGCTTCATTTATGAGGAGGGTAGAGTGCACTTTGGAGCAAGTAGGTCATGTTGGGGTTTGAATGGGCATGAAAGATAACACAGAAACGGATCCTGTCAGAATGAATGAATCCTTTTATGTACTTGCATAGGATACCTTTAATGTTTTTAGGAAGTTATTTTTTAGTTTTCTTAGGACATCATATAGCATCATTCCAGAGAGCTTCCAGTACTTTTCTTCCAAGTTTTATCTTTTTTAAAACTTTTCTGTAAGTAGTGAATATGCATGTAATCGGTAGAATAAACATCAGTTATTTTTCCTAAAAAGAATATATTTTTATAAAGGACAGAGATTTCTTATTTTTGACATATTTTGTAATAGTGAAATGGAAAACAGGTTAGTATTTAAACTCAATCATGTGTGAAATTAGTATCCTACAAGTGAACAGAAATGAATGCATCGAGTAATAAAATGGTAATCAGTGTTTAATTTTAATGCATACATCATCTTAAAAAGGGGGTGCTGAGAAGTTGCTATGCATGTTAATAAATGCTCTAGGTGTTTTCTGAAAAAATGTTTTGGAATTTACTCAACCATATTTTGGCATAATTCTGTACCATTATTGAGTAGTGCTTGTCCATGAGAGCAGCCCCACTGAGTTTAATAGGACTTTATGTAAGAAAGTCCTGGTTAATGTGGTTGGGCTTTTCAGAACCAGGCTGAAATGTCTGCAGTGAATTTAGTGGTGGTGAAAATTTGCCTGGTTCATCTATGATGAAGTCTGTAACACACACAGAGGTGATGCTGAGAGACAGCCAGTGAAAATTTCCTTGCCAATTTAGGCAATTTGTATAGACCCTGTCTTAGGGAGTATCAGTTCAGCAGAGGGTCATTAAACCAGCCCATATGCTTCTGACCTCTTCTGAGACTGCCAGCAAGGGTTTCAGATAGGAACGGGGGGGGGGGGGGGGG